TACATCAAGTGAACACTTATTTGGATTCACCTTGAATTTTTTTCTCAAACAGACGACGCAAAAAATTAGTTATACTCTGATAATTGGATATTTTATGGGGAGCATGAGTATTAGGATAATCTTGGTGAACTCCAACACATATAATTTCACTGGCTAAGTTATCCATCTGATCCTGAAATATGGTTCAATAACAACTTAGCAAAACAAAGATTAATGATTCTGAGATTTTGAAACTAACTAAAATGAGAAATATAGTTTTCATATTCCTTGAAAGGTGTAGAACATTGAAAGTTTATTAGATTCTCGAGTGTTAATTCTACTGATCACAGATGATTAAGAGTTAATGTAAAACTAATCATCATTAATACCATTTTCTCATTCATCAGTGATAAAATATATTCATCATGAAGTAGTTGATACTGTGTGATTCATTGAATCAAGACGATATCTCTTTAATTGTTGAAAACCAAGAATTCCTATTAAATGAGGAAGAAATTATTTGGCGTATAGAAAGAAGTTAATATCTATTGAAAATGTTTGCAGATAGTTCATGATAGTGATCTTTTTTCTCATGTCTTGTGACTTAAATTATTCATGCATACGTGTGTGTATTGCCCCATTCCACGATTGATAGATCGTTAATCAAGATTTAGTGAAGTTGACAACTAACGCAGGTCAGGATATCAATGTAGATTAGATGGATCACATTTTTGATGCTAGATAACTAAAGACTGTACAAATTTTATAGTTTACTACTTTATTTACTTAAGTAGTAAAAACGTATTGACATAAATGGTAAAACTGTGCGTCAATGATTAGTTGGTTTCGAAATAGGTGGTTCTGCGTTGACAGTGGTTGACTCAGACTTCAACTACTTCTTTTCAGTCTTCCACGGAGATTGAGGAAATTCCATAAAACTTGATGATTAGCTGTGACGTTCTATGTGTAATTAATAAGGAATTACGCAAGGAGCATTTGATTTAATGTCGTGCATATTCTGTTGTACACTGCTTTCATGAACAATAATCTGTCAGCATACTATTACTTTCTGTTTATACCCGGTTATCACTGTAACAACACAGAAATTAGCAGTAACCTCTCTGTGTGGTCTAATAAATCTTACAGTCTACGTTAATCCGTTATGACATGTGTAAAATAAATTGATCGAAATGTCATTGAAGTGTTGAGAAAAATTATGTGAAATGAAATCATAATACATTTCATCATCTAGACAAATGGTCAGTCAGTCAGTCAGTAACAACGTAGAACTTCGTATGTACGTACATCAGTTCGAGTTGCCACACCACACTAGCACAGAGATGCAGTTGTCGACTCAAATTCTGTAGTGGTAGAGGTAGTAAGAGTATAAGCAGTAATCGGAAAGATTAGGGTTTGAAGATGTTATTCAAGTAGTGTAATACAGTAAAATGAATTTGGAAGTAGAAGAAAAGGGACATGAAGAATCCAGAAGATTACAATTTGGGAGAACACAAAGAGTGTATGCACCTGCGCCATTGCAAACGATTTTGAGCCATATCATTCAGGGTCTCTAACCATTCGTTGCTATCATCTCGCGGACTCCAACCAGGTAGTCTACACCTACCAATATGACTCAGTCCACTTGTTAGTGACTTCATGGACTCGTGCCATGTTTTGGTCTGGCCGCCCCTATCTTTCTTCCAGTCTACTCCTACACAGCGAACAACATAGCTCGTCGAGGCAGTCGGTAGTTGGGCATACGTAACACATATCCCACCCATCTCAACTGATGAAGTTTCACTACGTCATCAATTGATTTGCCATCCTTACCTAGTACCCGTTTCTTAACAACTGCATATATATATATATATATATGATCAATCTCATAACCTATTTTGACTATATGTTTGGCAAGAGAGAACGATAGATGTTTATCATCTACGTTTATTGGGTGATTTTGATTTTATTTATTTTAGTGATCATTTACGTGAACGTTCAGACAAGTTAATTTTCAGATCACGATTTCTTCTCCTTTGTATATGTGGCCACAAACACGATGAAGTCGATAAACACAGTGTGATGTGACGTAATCGTTTCCATGTCTTTTAGGTTTTTGGTGAAGCAGGGACATTGTTTTCCGATTTCTGAGTTACTAAATAATAGGCTTCACTGGTAATATCATTCAAATGTCGAAGGGATCATAGATATACGTTGAAAACCTGGAAGTGATGGGAATCTGTTCCGTTGTAGTGTGGAATTGAACAGTAATACACATCCATAACACACAAACCGCAAATCGATGTTAGGTGCTTCGTTTCGAACTCGAACAATCAACCTCTTGACCAATGAGTTAGGATTCTGTGATGTACAAGTCCAACTTTCATTAATCTAATATAATAATGGACCGTCTATTACTGTCTTCGACTGGTACATTCCTCATACAAGAAACGCTATAGTAACAATTGTTAATTGTGCTATTGTTCTATACTTTTACTCTATATAAAAGATGCCTACACTTCTAAATGTGATGTCTTACCATGCTCTGGTTGTTGGAACAAATTCAATTAAAGATATCTAAACAAAGCTTTTCCCAACAGTACTAAATCAATATTCAGTCAGTCATAGGTTTTTAACATTGGAATGTTCTAAGTAACGAATGTGCTCCTATTTCTATTCAAAAATTGGCATTGTACTTTTCAAGAAAATACAGGATACAATTTGACTCGTTATGCACATTAAGCGACACTGATTTCTGATTGATAAATAAATCAACCATTGAAAGCCTAGCAGTGATGAAAGTGTAGTATTCTACCAAATACTATGAATGAATGATAAGAGTAAATGGGTCTAATCATCGAATAAAAATACGGTTTTGAAATATTTTATCGGACTGTTATTTAGCTAATCATTTTCATCAGACAAAAGAACTCAGTAAATCACTGTTTCGCTTCCTTTGGATTCTTTCTGTGTTTGATTTCTGATTGGTACTGGTAATATAAGTAGTTGTTTATTCGTTTTTTTTAGTTTATGAATTATGTAATTACTGAGCCATCATCCATTATCTAAATGAATTCCGGTAGTGAAATAAGGTTCAGTGTTTAAAAATGTTTTGCATTGATACCACCGCTATCTCAACCTTTGTACGCCTTTTGAAAGATGATTCAAATATCTGAAGTATACGATAATATTCTGGATATTCAGACGGCAAGTCAAAATGCACCTGGGAAGCATAATCTATGAACTAGGAAGTTCAGATGCAGACTTAAAGGCGAGGATTAGCATAGCAAGAACAGCATTCCTACAGTTGAAGAACATATGGAACTCAAAACAACTTTCAACCAATATCAAAGTGAGAATCTTCAATACGAACGTCAAGGCAGTTCTACTGTACGAAGCTGAAACTTGGAGAACTACAACAACCATCATCAAAAAGGTACAAGTATTTATAAATAGCTATCTACGCAAGATACTCAACATCCATTGGCCGGATATCATCAGCAACAGCCTTTTATGGGAGAGAACAAACCAGCTTCCAGCTGAATAGGAAATTAGGAAAAGATGATGCAAATGGATAGGACATACATCACGCAACTCATCAAACTGCATCACGAGACAAGCCCTAACTTGGAATTTTGAAGAGAAGCGAAAAAGAGGAAGTCCAAATAACACATTACGTCGAGGAATAGAAGCAAATATGAAAAGGATGAATAGAAACTGGATGGAGCTGGAAAGGATTGCCCAGGACAGGGTTGGATGGAGAATGCTGGTGAGCGGCCTATGCTCCTTCACGAGGAGTAATAGGCATAAGTAAGTAAGTAAGTAAGTCACAATGCGACAACATCTGAAACAGTGTCTTGATTTGGCAGCTCAAAAAGAAAATTGGTATGCGTATCTGTTCCTTCACTTAAACTCACCATTCACTAAAACCATGTAGTAGAATGTACATTACATGCTGTAATTTCTCTATACAATCAATGATGACTTTATATTACCGTTTGATCTGTTATAGAAAATGAATTTCTAAGAACAAAGAAATACAAAAGAAAAATAAATGAACAAATGCGTGAATAAACACACATACATGGTAATCACAGACACTAATACTACTAATAATAATGATAATAGTAGTAAAGTGTCCCTATTAAATCAAGGTGATAATATGATAGTCTATTGTAAAATAGTAACTCATTATTACTCATTACAACATACACATACACATATATATAGATACATTCACCTCCTTTTCTCTTTTAGGTCATTGTATTCATAAGTTACCTTTTTCAATAGTTCACATGAATAACACTTCTGTTAATACATGAAACAGTTTCATTAAAGAATCATTCACTATCATCCATTAGATCACTTATCTCTATACACATCTCATCAGAGAAGTCACCATTTAGATGAATATTGGTTATACATAAACATGAATATATCAAGTATAGATTATTATTATTATTAATAATAATTATTATTGATTAAATTATTGATTTTTCAATTTAAACTTATTCAATTTGTTATCCTGTTCAATCTACGCACACACACACACACACACACTTTATATACTCATATGTTTGTTATTTTGTTCATTGACTCATTTTGGTAAATTCACATCTTGGTGACGGATGTAGATGATGCTGCTGCTGCTGATGATGATGATGATTGGTAACATTGATTTTAATCATTTCACCTTAATATCTGTTGAAGAGTGCTTGAATGATAATGTTGTTCATTAAAAAAATATGGAACACTTTTTCAATGATAATTCAAGATCTATAAGAACCAATAATTATTAACACAAAACATCAATTGATCCAGCTTATTTATAAACGATTCATTGTAAACATTGATATCACTATATATAAATGGATTCATCATAACGATTACAAATATTCTTAATGTAAAATAATAGTTAAACAGTCATACTACATGTAAAGTATCATCATTATACAAACTATTCATTGAACAAATCTCTTGAATCCATGTACCATTCATAGAAGTCATAGTCATCATTCATGAAATGTCAATACATATTGGAACAATCAGTAAGTTTTAGTTGTAATTTAACGGTTATTTTATTTGATAAAAGGAATGAATATTTATGCATAACTAAAATAGAAAACTATTTTGTCAGGTGTCTTCGAAATATTGCTCGTATATCCTGGGACCATCGAGTATGTAATGCAGTTGTTAGGAAACGGGTACTAGGTAAGGATGGTAAATCAATTGACGACGTAGTGAAACTTCATCAGTTGAGATGTCTGGGATATGTGTTACGTATGCCCAACCACCGACTGCCTCGACGTGCTATGTTGTTTGCTGTGTAGGAGTAGATTGGAAGAAAGATAGGGTCGGTCAGACCAAAACATGGCACGAGTCCATGAAGTCACTAACAAGTGGACTGAGTCATATTGGTAGGTGTAGACTACCTGGTTGGAGTCCGCGAGATGATAGCAACGAATGGTTAGAGACCCTGAATGATATGGCTCAAAATCGTTTGCAATGGCGCAGGTGCATACACTCTTTGTGTTCTCCCAAATTGTAATCTTTTGAATTCTTCATGTCCCTTTTCTTCTACTTCCAAATTCATTTCACTGTATTATACACTTTAAATAACATTTTCAAACCCTAATTCTTCTGATTACAGCTTATAATTTTAGTACATCTGGCACTACGGGATTTGAATCGACCACTGCATCTCTGTGCTAGTGTGGTGTGGCAACTCGAACTGATGTACGTACATACGAAGTTCTACGTTGTTACTGACTGACTGACTGAATCGTATATGATTTGCATTGAAATGGATTACCGACAACTGTTCCATTATTTTTTATGAATTTTCAATCAACTCACTACATTCATTTAAACATTTCCTACATCTGTTTATATTCTATTTGTCATGGTAATTGTAGATGAGGTCAAATTGACTTACCCATCTCTGATATTAGTATGTTACGCGGTGAAATGAACCTTATATATGAGGTCAGTAATTCATTTATACCTGTTATGTTACATATGAAGGAGATTTTGCCTGAATCGTAATAAGTAATCGTTCCTTCTTCGATCAGTCATTCAGTTAGTTACAACGTAAGATCAGGCACATACATGCATCGGTCGAAGTTGCCACACGTCATCAGCACAGCACTCCGTACATCATGTATGTTTTGATCAGTTGTGCAATCCGAACAAAAGATTAATGTTCAAGAAATCTAACTGATTTCAGTCCCAAAATAATGTAATAATCTAAATATATAGTTTTTCATAATAAGAAATGAAATTAATTTCAATCTTTCGTTTGTAAGTATAAAAACTAACTTAGCTGAGTACTTCTAAATACTTACTTGAATCAAACAAATATTTTCTAAGTTAAATTTAATCAAGACTACCATTGAGAACTTTGAGGCACTTGACAGATGTTTCGTCCAAATATGAAATTCCTCAACAGTGCACATCCACAATCCCGTACACAGGAGCCAACCCAAAAAAAAACTTCAGTCTTTTAAGCAAATGTTTAACTTCAGAACTGGACAAAATGTATCCTCTTTACTTATATGCTTCATAATGAATCATTATACATAACTTATCAACTTTTGTTATCATATACAAACTATAAATATGATTTTGTTTTCATTAAAAAGTCAATGTCTCTTGTTTAATGTTGTAATATAAGTCAGTAATTTAATAACTAAACTATACCAACAATCATGTTTAGGCTTGTTATTCTACTTCTTCTTCTTCTTCTTCTTCTTCTTCTTCTTCTTCATTAAGTAGAGAACACAAACATTCTTCAATTTCAATATGTATACCAATTATACTACTAATAGTAAGAATAGTCATTATTATTATTATATTTACAGAATACTTTTTAAAGTATTTCTCTACTCACAATTCATGACAAGTACTTTACATTGAAGTTCTATCGGTTATTACACATACAAAAACCATAATCTTAGTGTAATGTTACTTTAAAAGAAGTCTCTTATGTTACTAAGTTGTTCATTTAAATTCAAACAAGGTCAATTACATAATGGTAACTTACTATTTGAATAGAAATGATTATGGAAATGAAAGTACAAGTTGGAAAAGTACAGATCTACTATGAATTGTTCTTTTGAAAATATATCATTATGGACTACTATTATCATGTATATTCATAATAATTTGTAAGTGGTATTTACTTATGGAACTGATCTTGTGGAGACAGTTATATAGGACATACAATTCGGCAAGTTCGTCATTGTATTACAGAGCATCATCTGTCGTGGTTAAGCAAAGAACACGTGAAAGCGATTAAAAGTTCTATTCTCTTTCACTTGGTTGACACAGGGCATCAAGTTGAATTGAATAAAGCTTTTAAGGTTATCTACCATATTGTATCAAATTTGCCACATGGTTTACAAGTGCGCCTTTTGCACATTACGGAACCCATCGCAATCCATGTTCACGAACCTAACCTTTACATTCAAAAGAGATTTGTACAACCACTTTCGCTGCCTTGGCCATCGGTATAAGATTTACCTCAACAGAACTATTTTTCATACTTCTTCCACTCGTTTTTTTAAAATTTTTTTGTAACCTTGTGTTTTGTTGCTTTTGAACCTTATAACTTTTCAACATTCATCTCTTGATTCTTACGTAACTACTATCCTATTGACCATCCGTTGAAATTCTATTCCTTCTTTGTTTCTTATATCACACAACGTAGCAACTTTGAATATTAATAATCCTCTTTCTTCCAATTACTCAATGTTAATTTAAATGTCATTATGTAATTATTATTACGTAACGTATCCATTCGATGAGTATTATATCATTATTGTAAATCATACTTATGTATATTAGTGTAAAGTTATGATGAAAAACTAATTGAAAAGAAAATTTTTTTCGCTCAATTCGTTCCTTCTGTCTTAATAGAGGTACTGATAAAAGTCAGATAACACTAGACCACTGTTTTATCCTATTATAAGACTTCTCAGCAGCCAGGTTTCCAGCTTCCGTAGAAACGCAATAACCATGGTTTTTAAATCTCGAAGTGTCCATAACCATTAGAATCCATGTGATGACACACATTTGCAACTTCAGTCAACATAAAATTAATATCAGCAATCGATGAACACCACTGGTGATGTTGAATCCCATAGAGAAATGAGATGGCTGTCCATTGCCTTTGTTCTCAATGATACCTCTACTGAAACCACTGTAAAACGAATATAATCTACAACTGAGGTGATCTTCATGAGCTGCCACAATCCTTAGTCTTATATATAACTGATCTATCGTGCCATTCGTTTTATATTAAAGATTTCACATGCACAGTTGCAATTCTTTTGATCATAGAGAAAAGGAAAGAATAGTAATTCATAAAAGAAACCCTTGTTTTTTCATTTCTGTTCATATTTCATTTTAATTTAATATTTCAACTTGTTATCTATGCTCGACTAATCAGTTACATGTATATTTATTTCAGATGGGTTTTGTGGAGATTGTAGTAATTTCAATGGTTAAGATAATGAGTCAATTGAAGCTAGACCACCATGGAAAACCTGGAAGCACTGGACAGCCGTTCCGTCCTATTGTGGAACTCCTCAGCAGTGCGCATCCACGACCCCGCCCCCTGCGAGATTCGAACCCAGGACCTACTGGTTTCGCGCGTGAGCACTTAACCACTAGACCACTGAGCCGGCATCCGACCGTGTTAATGTCTAACTCCAACTAATCCACGAAATTGAGCGACACATTCACCATTGTCTTCAGTGAGTTACTATCTCACAACAGACCTGGTTGAACTCCACTGGTCACTACTTCTCACTAGAACTCCAGAATATACCTCGTAAAGCCAGTCACTAGCGAGCATATGTTAATTAATATCAGATCACAATAGGACGAAACGGCCGTCCAGTTCTTCCAGGTTTTCCATAGTGGTATAGCTTCAACTGACTCATGATCTTAACCATTTGATTTTTGTCAATAGTTCCCTCATTGTTTGTAGTTTGAAATATATGTGACATGACAACCTTCCTTTGTCATCCCTTCCTAGATCAAGAATAACTTCACTTAAAAATAAATGTGATCAGATAGAAAGTACTACTATTTCATATAATAACGGACTTTTATTTTGAACTTTACTAATAAATTCAATCTCCCTTGTCATTACCAATGTGATCGTATATATCATAGATTAGAAATTCAAGAAGATTTGGTTGAAAATCAAAAAAAGATCTAGACAACAGTTGACTCCATCCATTGTCTTTAAATATTATACAACATTCAATACATATGACAGTTTTCTCAGACGTATTCAACTACTGCATCTACAATATATTTCATTCTTCTTTTCTTCATGTCATAAAATATAATAGTTTTGTAAATGTTATGACCTTGATCTGTCTACTCTAGATTAAGACCTTGACGCAATAGACTGACCGACCTAAACGTGAGGTTAGTACACGTGAGTTCGAGCCGGAATAGAGAGAAGAAAACTATTCTATCACCTGATTGGTTGACAAGTACACGAATGAGAGAAGACAAGACAACTGGAACACTATTCACACTATTCCGATATACTGATTTCCTGTGAACTCCCTGAAATCAGATTAGTGCGAAAAGATACATGAATAAATAAGTGAATAACCCGACCATAACGTACAATAATTGGGAAAAATACATTCATGTCTAAAACTGGGAATTAGAGTAGAAAATAAGGTGCAAAATATTATGTTTAAATTATAATAGCTTCGGAACAGAAAAGCGGTATGGCAATGAATGACACATCGAATGAAAGCTCATGTTCTGTAGAATAAAATAGGGACAAAAATAAATGTCAGTGTTTTACAAGCTTTGAATAAAATGAAATCACGTCCAGAAAAATAACTTTCGTAGTATGTCAGAGCTTCTTGTTTCCCTGTTCACATCAGTAAGATTTGATCTAAAAAATCATTTACATATTAAGCATAATAATTTATTTATTTATTTCAACACCTAAATATTGGTACAAGAGGGAACCAAATATATATGCGCCACGCCACATTTGTGTGTGTGTGTGGGCTGTGATACTGCCCGGGTGCTCAGACCGAAGGAGGTGGTTTAATTAGGGGGGCCACACCCCGAGCCTTTGACCTTAAGGTCTGACCCACAAGGCCGTGGAGTATAGTGAGGAGATGCATTCCCATGGTAGCCAGTGACCAACGATTCATCCATACGCCATTTGTTTCCTCAGGATACTAGAGCCCATGTGCACCATTGATTTGGTTTGGGATCCGGTTAAAGCATCGGACATTCGCTTTTCGTCCTCTCATTTTCGTGAACAACACCCGTGGTGCGTGAGTAGGACTTCCCTGGCAGAGGCTGTATACTCGTGGCCATGTGAGAGCATTTTGATAGGGAGGGCGGGCCCACCCCACTCTCGGCCATACCAGGGCATTTGGGCGCGCATGAAATTGGTATTCAAAAAATGCTATTTTACTGAATTAGATCTGATTACCTTAGAGTAGACAATTCATGTAATTCTATTTCGCTAAAGGTAGATAAAAAACTCATTTGTCTTCTATACTACGTATGTAACAATGGAAAAAATATTTGTGATGAGTTTCTGCCAAAATGAAGTGAACTGTTTTAGTACAAGTACGAATTAACCCTTTAATCTGACCGAATTAAATTTATTAGTTGGATCTGTTGATCACTTCTATTATACTGTATATCTCATTAATTAACGTGGTTTATTAGCTGATACATTACCGAATAGAATTGTACACTTAATATAACTGGCTCGACAGGAGCAGTTGAATTGGTGATTGTACATGAGTGTGATAAATTCTAGTGAATTATCTTTACTATTGGTTCCTATTATGGGGCAGTTTTAGGAAAAAGTATTCAGCATGATCACCTGTACCGCTTTTCTTAACTTTTGAACCATCAGTTCCTTGGTAGCGTCATTTAGGAATTGTAATTTTAAGGACGGCTTTTCCTTTGGAATGGTAGGTACCTTTGTTCTTCTTTTCGTCTCCTTCATATGCTTATTGATGAATTTTGTTGAGGATCCATTCTTATTAATCATATTACGAATAATGACCAATTCATGTACAATGGTGTCATTCGAGCAAATCATTCTGGCTCTATGAGTCACGATCTTTATTAAGTCTCTTTTTTATCTGTTTGGTGAAACACTATAGAAATGAATAAATTGTCCAACAGTAGACTTTCAATGTATCCCTCCTATTAATGTCCCATCTACTCTTCTGGTTAGTTGGACATCTTGAAACGACGTACTATCATTCTATTCTTCTGCTAACGTGAAAGTAATCGATGGATGAATATTATTAAATATATATTAAGCAAATTTCCTTTTCATGGTCTTTTTTTAATACTATCAAAGTATCATCTATTTAGCGATAATAAGATGTCAGACGACTGATTGTGTCCACAAGAGGCCTGTTTTCCTGCTTTGTAAGAAAAATGTCTGTCAGTATAGGTCCTAATGGTGACCCAATGACCACACCATTCAACTGTCTATAGTATTCATTTTCGAATTGGAAGTAGATATTCATCGTGCTTCTAAGAATCATGCATCACAGATGCGGTAATTAAGGGTTCTGTTCACCACTCTGTTAATTCATTGCATCTAATATCCACAGTTTCAAGAAGTGGAATGTTAGTGAATAGCAACAACATCTCCAATGATATCATGAATTTATTATTGACCGACAGATTTATCATATTATCAACAAATTCAAAAGAATCCTTGACACTATGCTCAACAATTTCTTTATGCAATGGTTTGAGAATTGGCATTAGCCATTTCGCTCTAATACGATAGGCTGAATTATTCATATCTAAACACATGTCGAAGGGATAAGCCGTTTTTATGTATATTTGGCAGATTATACAGTCTTGTTGTTACGGTTCCAATCGGTCTCAACATTTCGAACACTTTACGAAATAAAACATTGTTGTTTGATTTGTTTCAATGAGTCTATTAGCTGTTTTTTTTCAAATTCTGTCTGCCATGTGATTCTTCACTACCAGTTTCTGAAATTTACTCTTATCATTTAAATAGGCCTTTATTATATTTAAATGATTGATTTTAATACACGATTATTATACCGTAACTTTTATCTAGTTTGGTGAATAATAAATTGACATCAGTTTTAAGCTTCCTTATGATTTTTCATCAAAATCCCTCTTACATTACATCCATGATTCAGGTATCTAAAGCAACAGTTCACTAGTATTGATTAAAGTCTCTCGAATTTGTCTTTTGATGAAGTTACTATTATTTTTTTAGGTTACAAAACTTAGGTCCTAGTGATAACGCTTCCAACTCAACCTGATTGAGTTTAATAGTAGGGGGATTGTGTACATTGTAATGTCAGTTATTGTGTTAAGCCCATATACTTTATTCTAACTTTCGGACAGCACAATCTATTCAATCTACTTGAGTCATATTTTCACCTTGTCAATCTATGTGCTTATCAGTCTTGACTGTTTTTTTTAAATGAGCGTATATGTGTGTACATTTCATATCCCATGTCTTATCACATGTCTGTAGTTTATTTTGTCTGCACATAAATATTGAGTAACTCCTGGCTAAAAAATGAATTGCCTTACCAGCCATCTTCCCTGCGTGTCATTTTGTTTTGCTCTGTTCCATTCACCTCATATACAAAATATATGTATTCACAAGTCAATTCTCGTTAATTGACTTATCTAAATTCCGTTATTGACTAAAGTGCTTTAAGTCGATGATTGTACACGTGGATAGAAGACATATATATTTCAACAACAATCATCATTACGATCTAATTGTTATTATTATTATTATTATTATCTTTACTAGTATTTTTATTGAGATCATGAACCGATTGATGTTAGACTACCATTGAAAAGTTGGAAGCACTGGACAGCCGTTTCGTCCTATTGTAGGACTCTTCAGCAGTGCGCATCCACAATCCTGCTCGCAGGACTCGAACTCAGTGATAGTCTAACATCAATCAATTCATTATCTTAATCAAAAACTTAACAATCTCCAAAACCCCTAAACTGATATAATTTTGTATTATAATCAACATAATTATTACATAACATAACTATTCTATGAGTTTCATTTCGTCAATTTCATATTTCATTATTCATTTCAGTATTATTATCTTAGATGAAGTGAATCATGAATATTTGATATGATAGATAAATTTCCATGGTGAATTCTCATTCTAAGACTTGGATTATAATCATGATGGTTAAATGAATGATTCCTCTTTACTTGAATAGTAAACTTTATCTACTAAACAATAGATGATAATAATAACAATGATCAATGAAATTTGAAATCAATTCAATGAATTCAATAGATTCAATAAGAAATAAATTATTATTCCCTACAGGTATATCAAATCGTATATCATCTATTCAATCCATATTAAAAGATACGACTTGTCCAAATACTAAAATGTTTATGTCACATGAAGAAGCCTTAGTTACATTAACTGAAAGAACATCTTATCCAATATTACAAGAGAATGGTCAACGTTGTTATGGTCCACCACCAAATTGGTTAGGACCAAAACCTCCAAAAGGTTGTGAAATATTTATTGGGAAAATACCACGTGATTGTTATGAAGATGAATTAATTCCAATATTTGAATTAGTTGGTCAAATTTATATGTTTCGTTTAATGATGGATTTTAATGGATTAAATCGTGGTTATGGTTTTTGTTTATATACAAATCGTGATAATACAAAACGAGCTGTAAATGAATTAAATAATTATGAAATACGTAAAGGTAAAATGTTAGGCGTTTGTTATAGTATTGATAATTGTCGTTTATTTATTGGTGGTATACCAAAAACAAAAACAAAACATGAAATAATGTTAGAAATATCCAAAATAACGAATGGTGTAAAAGATGTTATTGTTTATCCAAGTATAGAAGATAAAACAAAGAATAGAGGATTTGCATTTATTGAATATGAAAATCATAAAACAGCAGCAATGGCTAGACGTAAATTAATACCAGGACGAATACATTTATGGGGTCATCAAATTGCAGTGGATTGGGCAGAACCAGAACGTGAAATTGATGAAAATATTATGTCAAAAGTGAGTTGAACGCTCATTGTAACTTGAATAAAATTGGCTTATTGATATTATGAATTGTTCACAAAAATTAAGAAACAAATTTACTACTACAAATTGCAGGTAATATGATATTATTATTATCATTGTGAACAATCATGTCATTTCATTCCTTGTACAGAGGAAAAAAAATGTATCATACAAAATACTAACTTCCTATTCAATATAATTCTAATCCTTCAAATACTGTATCCACTTATTTTGTAACAATCATCGTTATATCATTCATGAACTTCGGGTACTGGAATCTACATACATCAACATTTGATCGTCAATAGGGTTTAATATCTTTAACATGTACCCATAGCATATACGTGCCATGAATGTGGATTTTGAGAATCATTCAAATGGCTGCAGAAATGAAAATATAAAACATGGAGGTACTTGAAATCAGTCAAACACATTGGACACAAGTTGGACAACAACGACTAACTTCAGGGGAGCTGTTGTTATACTCCCGCCGTGAAGAAGAAAATGCTTGATATACACAAGACTTGCAGTGATGTTATCCAAACAAGCACAAAATACACGTACAGGATGGGAATCTCATGGACCAAGGATCATCAAAGTCCCCTTCAAAACAAAGAAAGAGGGGATTGCAATGAACGTCATCCAATGCTATGCGATTAACAACGACTACAATGAAGATGTTAAAGATCAATTCTACGATAGGCTGCAGCCAATCATCGAGAAATGCAGAACAAAGGACCTTACAATTCTGATGGGAGATTTAAATGGCAAGGTTGGAATGGACAACACTGGATATGAAGACATCATGGGACGACATGGACTAGGAGAAAGTGACGAAAATGGTGAGAGATATGCAAACCTATGTGATTCCCACACAAGCACGTACGCAAATGCACATGGACTTCACCGCATCACGCTACGCAGAACCGAATCGACCATATCTGCATCAACAAAAAGTTCAGAAGGACAATGGAGGACGTGAGAACCAGGAGAGGAGTCGATATGGCATCAGATCATCACTTGCTGGTCGCCAAGATGAAACTGAAACTTAAGAAGCACTGGAAAACGGGGCGGATAACATCACAAAAGTTTGATACGTCTTTTCTTCGGGATACTGACAAACTTAATAAATTCATGATAGTCCACAGCAATAGATTCCAGGCCTTTCATGACCTACTCAATGGAGAAGGAACTACTATGGAGAGCAACTGGAAGGGGTTCAAAGAGGCAATCACTTCAACATGTTATGAGGTCCTGGGTCACAAGAAGCACCATCACAAGGAATGGATCACTGTTGATACACTGGATAAGATTCAAGAACGGAGGAACAAGAAGGCAGCAATGAATACCAGTCGATTAAGAGCAGAAAAAGCCAAGGCACAAGCTGAATACACAGAAGTAAACAATCAAGTGAAGAGGAGCATCAGAACCGACAAACGTAAATATGTGGAGGAGTAGGTAGTGACGGCGGAAAAGGCTGCAACAGAAGGAAACATGAGACAATTGTATGACACAACAAACAAACTCTCTGGAAATCGCCGCAAACCAGAACGACCAGTGAAAAGCAAGGAAGGCGAGGTAATCACCAACATTGAAGAGCAACAAAACAGGTGGGTAGAACACTTCAAAGAACTGTTGAATCGACCAGCTCCACTGAACCCACCCAACATCGAAGCAGCACCCACAGACCTCCCAATCAATGTTGGCCCACCAACAGTTGAAGAGATAAGCATGGCCATCATACAAATCAAGAGTGGCAAAGCAGCAGGACCAGACAAAATTCCAGCAGAGGCACTAAAAGCAGGCGTAGCGGCAACTGCAAGGATACTCCACATTCTCTTCAATAAGATTTGGGATGAGGAACAAGTACCAACAGACTGGAAAGAAGGACTTCTGATCAAAATACTGAAGAAAGGCGATCTCAGTAAGTGTGATAACTACAGGGGCATCACTCTTCTCTCAATACAAGGAAAAGTCTTCAACAGGGTATTGTTAAACAGGATGAAGGACTGCGTAGACGCCCAACTTCGTGACCAACAGGCAGGATTCCATGAGGATAGATCGTGTACAGACCAAACCGCAACTCTACGGATCATTGTGGAACAATCAATTGAATGGAATTCATCACTCTACATCAACTTCATTGACTACGAAAAGGCATTTGATAGCGTGGACAGAACAACACTATGGAAACTTCTTCGACACTACGGCGTGCCTCAGAAGATAGTTAATATCGTACAGAATTCATATGATGGGTTAAACTGCAAAATCGTGCATGGAGGACAGCTCACAAGCAAAGTTTCTTACTCTCATCCTTTCTCCTGGTGATCGACTGGATCACGAAGACGTCAACATCTGAGGGGAAGCACGGGATACAGTGGTCAGCTAGAATGCAGCTGGACGATCTAGACTTCGCAGATGATCTTGCTCTTTTATCACACATGCACCAAGAAATACAGGAGAAGACAACCAATGTAGCAGCAGCCTCAGCAGCAGTAGGTCTCAACATACTCAAAGGGGAAAGCAACATTTTCTGGTACAACAAAGCATGCACCTATCCAATCACACTTGATGCAGTCGTCTCTCTTCAGCCACGCGAATCCAAATCATTAAAAATTAAGCTGATATGTGTGCACAAAATACGAAACGTTGTCTTTGAATACATTAGTCTCTACAACCTAAAGTACAATAGAAATATGTTATAATATCAGCTTGAAACAGTTTTGTTGAGAACTTGTTGAGAGTATATACTTGGATTTGTTGAGGCACTATTTTCACAATCTTTCACGTGTATATGTGTAAATGTAATTTTGTATAAACGTTAATTCTATTTGGTATACATTAAGAGTTTTTATAAGAAAATGTAATTACATTTTATAATTGAACTTATACTACTTATAGTATTTCACTAGATATATATATATTGATTTCACTTTGTATAGGTCCGTATACTATATGTTAGAAATTTAATGTTAGATACAACAGAAGATGCGGTGAAGGATCATTTCAATCAAGCAATTAATTCAATTAATGCTGTTGAACGTGTTAAAAAAATTCGTGATTATGCTTTTGTTCACTTTCGTGATCGATTAGATGCTGTCGCAGCGTTAAAACAATTAAATGGTAAGTTATGACATAGTAAAGAAGATTTATGTCTCAAAGAAATGGTTTTGATAATGTTGCGATGTTTGAATTGAATGATTTAATTATGAAGCTTTCAGTTTCCTTGTGGACAGCATCATCAGCAGCACAAACATCTGATAGAATAAAGCTTTAAATATTCTAAATATGAGTAACAGTATATTCTGTTGTGCATTGTCTTCATTATTTATAGTTGACCCTTGTTCAGTGACTGTCTCCACATTGACTATTTATCTTAAGATAGGTAGGGAAGTTTAAATTACTCACAGCTGTCGATGGTTTGTGTGGATGATGTTTTCTAGAAAGCTTATGAATCATTCATTTCAGAGAACGAAAATTTAAAAGACAGATAATCTGTAGTACATACTTTGAGTAACAACCGTTATAAACTTTTTAAACTACCTTACAGATGATTTAAAGCTTCACGTCAATACGTCACTTTGGTTAAACAACCATGAAAGATCAGCAGATACTAAGCAGTGGCCTTGTGTTATCATTTCTCTCCTCCACGACAACATCTCTACAGCAGATCAGTAGAGGGAAAACAACCCTCAGGCTTCGCCTCATTTTCGAACAATTAAAATTACTTCTTTTGTTTGACATAAAGTTTAATCTACTGAATGATCATCATCCATTGTCACTGGAGTTCCTGGGCTTGACCCCTAGTAAGACAGTGAATGATTACCACTGGTGTGGTTTAGGCTCCGAATTCCGTTAAATATGGTTTTAGATATAATAATATCGGTTTGGATATACCTGAAATTCTAATGGCTTAGTTGAGCTAGCTAAGTAGATTGATTTATTTCCACAAGATGATTAGCCAATAAATTAAGTTTCCATATAATGCGGCTACCAGAACATATTATTCTTTTTGAGTTACGCTTATGTATCAATGTGAGTTAACATACAAGTTAATGAGACCAAACTATTTAAGGAGCTTGAATATTTCTGATTATGTTTTTACACTACTGAAATGATAAAGGTAGTCAAACAGTACAGATACATAAATGACGAAAATGTAGTAGTGTTTGAATACCCATTAAATTTGGAGAACATAAACACAAATTTTTCTGTCATTCAAAAGCAAATGCAAATCATTTAAAATGTTAATATACCTTAAGAAATATCTACAAGTACACAAAGCAAAATATAATCTATAATACTTCAAAAGAGTCAGAAGTGGTTTGTGGAGATCTTAGAAATTTTCACAGATTGAAATCATCCCGCGAGGTGCAGGATCGTGGATGAGCACTGCTGAGGAGTCCCATACTAGGACGAAACAGCCATCCAGTGCTTCCAGGTTTTTCATGGTAATCTAGCTTCATCGGACTCATGATTTCAATCTGTGAAAACTTCAAAAGAGTATCTACAAAACATACATAAACTGGTGAAATTATATTCTCGAGAACTTGCATTCTTCATGGTATGGTTGACGTTGGCATGTATACATAATGACCCAAGTTCCTATCATTACAAATAAAACCGATATATTCTCGTAATACTAACACCTAGAGTATATAATTATAACTCATATACTAAGTAAGGATTTGTAAAATGAACCTTAGAGGAAAAACTACTTTTAAGAAGTACCGATACTACTTGCAACTGAAGCAAGTAGAGTGAAAATTTAAACATAAGACTTATCGTAATGATTTCACTACATGAAGGCCAAAAATCTCTTCAACCTTTTATTCTATAATTATACCTCATTATAATAACATATACTCGATGAATGTATTGTCAGTACACTGTATCTATAATCATTTGTTTCCAATTAACACTGTATTTCAGAACATAATTATTTCCACTATCAGTCTGTATTTATAAAATGGCATGATACAGTTTGGTCTTCAATAATGATAGTTAATTCGTTAAGTTTTGTATTATTCTATTACTAGATTGTAAATACTGGTTTAGTAAATAACTATTTACCTCAACCAATCATATCATTAGATGATACATCGGCACTTGAAGTTGAACTTCCTGGATTCCAGTATCGATGTCACTATCAATATTAGGATACAAGTACATACAGTTAACGTATTCCATAGTGAAAAAAACACATATTAATAATTTTACCATTACTTATTCTCCAAAATATTAAAACGAATGCCAAATTATGTTCAAGGTGTATGCTTGTCCTGCAAAATCTTATTCGATTTGCCTTAGGTTTACGAATAGTTTGTTTATCTATGGTTTATGCGACTCATTTCTTCTTGTTATTTGTTTAAATAAAGTGTAGTACTGTCAGTGATTTAAAGTAGTTTAAACAAAATTGAATGAATCACACAAATTATTAGTGAATGCCAATTTTTGATAGAAATGTATAGTCACATTTAGGTATAGTTTATAAGTAAGATATTTTCTATTCGAATGACTTTCCACTCAAATATCTAACTTGTTCTTAATATTTTGTGCATCTAGGAATAATCAACGAAATAGCACTGGTTAAATCATGAGTCAATTGAAGCTAGACCACCATGGAGAACCTGTAAGCACTGGGGGGCTGTTTCATCCTAGTATGGGACTCCTCAGCAGTGCGTATCCAAGACACCCCCCCCGCGAGACTCAAGCCCAGGATCTGTCTGTCTCGCGCACAAGCGCTTAACCACATGACCACTGAGCAGGCATCCAATGTTGTTAATTTCTAACTTCAAATCTCGCGGGGGCTGGATCGTGTATGCGCACTGCTGAGGAGTGTCATACTAGGACGAAACGGCCATCCAGTGCTTTCACGTTCTCCATGGTGGTCTAGCTTAAATTGGCTGATGATTTCAACTATTCTAATTCCTAAAATCTCCACAAAACACTTTCTGACAATAAAATAGCTTTTTAAACCTCTTGAGATAATGTTTAAAAATGTTATTATTTACTGATAAATTAAAGAATTATGGTCGTTATCAGTTATTAGATTAGATAAGATAGTTATCAAAGTCACTTGATACATTTAAGCCATCTGATTCTTATGTGTGATATTATAGTACTCACTTTAGATAATATTTCTAATTGGTAGGAAGCATTGTTTATTATCTATCTATGATCATCATGATGTAAATAAACCATTCGGAGAACAGATGCGCAGAATTCTGAACTAGGTTTATCCAGTATCATAGTCAGAGGCATTACTATTCAAGTATTCAGGCTGTGATCGACTCCCTTTAACACCAACCTATTCACATTGATTGATGGGTGAGAAGTAAAGAACAACTTGTTAGTCTAGTTCATAGTTTTGATTGATTTCGGTTGATCAAGTTGCAGTGCAGGTTAACTTTTCGTGAACTTTGTTTTAGTGACTATGTTGCAACTTTCTCGATAGAATTAAATCAGCATTAACAACTATACAAATATGACATATGTAAATACCTAGTGATAAACCAGTATGATGCTCATGAAATATTGCTCACTTAATACTTTGGAATAAGAGATCAAGTGACTGAACTTGAAAATGACTAACTTCTCGTCCGTATCATTGCCAAGGTTTCGTTGATAGCCCTATACATTCGAAAATTCTTTTTAAAATAAGGACAGTTGAATCATACAAGCATTTCTCTGTATGGCGGAATCATTCTCAACGCTGTAAAACTGTAAGTGTACACTTTTCTTCTTAGTGATGGTATTATCAATGTTAATAGTAATCACTTACTGAAAACGGTAATACAACTTCATAAAAAATGGTCTTCTTAATACAAAAATGAAGATTTGGTTTTTATGACTATGAATACTTGCTGAGATTGCCATGGAGAATAGATTAAGTGCAATGCCTGTAACATTACATAGTAAAATAAATTCCTTAAATTAGAATAGAATGTGATCTTAGAGGGTATGGTGACATACTATGTCGGTTGAAGGCAAAATGTCGATAGAGAATGATAACAAAAACATGGGAGACTGAATCAGAGAACTAGATTTTAAGACGATGGTAAAAAATGAGATTGATCAAGTATCTTTGATATACACTGTCATAGCTTTTCAAAATGTATATTAAAGGCTTTAATAGTGCTCACTCACCATCATTGGTAAGTTTCTATCTATCCTATAGAGATAACTTCGAACGCTAAGCCTATTTTGACTGAATACTCAGTGTTCACAATGTGCGCAAATGTGAAGCTTATCTTTTCCAAAATGACACGATCAGCTGTTTATTCATGTGTAATGATAATTCAAAAATGCATGATGTTAATCATCTGAACTGAATATATCTTCTTATTACATGGAAAATACAAATGAAATTGTGCTTTACTACAATTTTATAACTGCCCTAATAGAGTTTGGGACAATTTTGTATGCTAACATGAATGAGTATACAGACACAAAGATATTGAAAGGATAGAAATGGAAAATAAATCCCGTGAAATCATCATCTTAGGTAATGAAACAGTTCAATCTCATGTCACCGTATGAAATGAAGGGAATGGGTTAGTTATGTATATTTTATAAAGTTAACAAACTTTGTAGTTGCTATACAGCTACAAACCAGAAATGTTAAAATGAAGTTACGTAATGGTTGAGAATTTAAAGGGAATGAAATCAAATTACTTGAATGATAGATGATTGTTTACTTAACGAGTTTCATTGACGTGAGAAAAAAAAACGTGAAAGTGGTGATTACTAAATAAATAATTAAAACATTAGAAGCATAAAAGAATGTACCAACAATTAAGCTACTGTGTTTACACATATCACTGGCATTGTGAAATGAGAGCTGAGATATCTCTAAGATGACCCTGCATCTGTGAGGTTCCCATCCTATAAGTTCATTACGTGTTTCTTTTGACATTTTCCTCTTCGTGACCGGAGTACAGCAGCATCTCTCCGGTATCTAACCTCTTCTTTCCAGCTTGGGTCCAATGGAGTTTTCTGATTCCGAGAACCACTAAGTTGTATCTCCTCATTTCCGTTCATATTTGATTGATCCTCCTGGTCTCCCGCATCGCCTGGGCGTTCTATGTACCTATGGAAGTTGTTGCTCTGGTTGTTAGAAAAGGGTATCAGCTTACATCACGAGACGTCGTAATTGTTCCTTCAACTCAGAGGGCAGATTACAAACGGTTTAACTTGTTTATTCTGTTTAATGTTTTTTTAGTAAAGTTGTTTTCGATGTGATGTGGGTGCCAACCCCGCGCTCAACCCTTCTCTTTTACCTCGGCTTGGAACCGGCAGTAACTATAGAAGATCTCTATGTGAAGTTAACTAAGTAGTAATAAGTACACGATATTCTATTCAACTGCTTTCGAAGCACTGGTTATCACCCAAACTTCGAATCTAAAATCCTCACACTAATTCGTAAGCTTATTTCTACCCTAGTTAATGTTTGAACTCACTTAAAGCCACTTTTGTATCACACAGCCTACGTCTATGAATTATAATCTCACCGAGTCCATATTATTATAGTAATTTAATAGTTCAGTTCATTAGTCATTTGAAGCTAGACTGCTTAAGAGTCCGACACTAGAACGAAATGGCTCATCCAGTGCCTCCAGGTTTTCCATGGTGCTCTAGCTTTAATTGACTAATGAATTCGAGTATTAAATTATCTGAATCTTTAATTTATGGACAGCATTTGAGCGACGCTAAAGTGACCTTGAGAGTGCCCACCTGATAACTATGACCAAATGAGGGTTATAAATTAATGTGAGGAATTCGAATTGTGACTTGCAGTTTATGGTTAAGGGTTAGGAATTAGATTTCGAGGTTTTCATCATGAACTGATATCAGTTAAAATGGCGAAACTCTATTTAGCCAAATGGATGAGTGAATTTCGCGCTCAAAATCCGAGACCTATTATCTTACCTGTTTGGTTCGTCCATAAATTGTATTATCGCCATGGATACTACATTCATCAGATCATGTACTATATATTTTCATACTTTTTCTACTATTATTATCAATAGACAATGGATTCAATGTACTTCTTTTTATCTTTATTAAAAGAAACAACATATTTACTCGTTTATAAATAGGTACTTTACTTGATGGAGCACAAATTGAAGTGTCTTGGGCAAAACCTGTCAATAAAAATGATAATTTAAGAACAAGTCATCATTGTCAATCATTTTTAACAATCAATTCAAACTATACTAATCATAATAATAGTAGTATTAATTATAATAATATAAGTTTATCAGAATATACTCAAAAACAAGCCTTATCATTGTTCTCAACATCATCATCATCATCATCTTTGTCATTAGTCGGTTCATCTAATACAGTCATCATACCGTCAACTTCATCAGAACTATTCTATTCTAATGCATTAACAAATAATATACCTTTACAACAATTACATCATTCTAACTTATATCCTTTTACATCAATAATTAATCAGTCAATCATAACATCTAATTCATATCATTCATATTATACTCCAAATGTGTTCACACAAACTAATCTACATAAACATCAAACTCAATGTAATCCATTATTTAATCATACTATAAATCCTAATTCATTATTATCCAATTATACCATTTCCCCATCATTACCATCATCATCATCATCATCATCTACGATGTCAATTGTTAATCCAATGAATACATCGTCTACAATGAAACATTTTCATCATGATATCAGTAATAATAATAATAATTTAATCAATAAATCAATCAATAACAAACCATCATTAACATTGAATCAAATTTGTTTAAATGAATTATGTCATTCAATTACAAAATTGAACATTGAAAAGAATAAACTTAAAAATGATTTAACATTGAATACAGACTATAAACAATTAAAACAATTGAATCAATTAAATCAAATAATATTGAAAAAATGTAATCTATTAAATGTAAAGAAAGATATTAGGTAATGACATGATTATTAATGATGAAATTTGTAAGAGATGATAGTATTTTTTAAAGTTGAATTCATAAGTTAAACTAAGTTAGATTATCATTGAATACCTGGAAGTACTATATGATCATGATCAGTGATGTCTAATCTGTATGAAGTTGAGGAAGATATCAACCTCAAACAATCAAAAAAAGGTTGCACATGATTATAAATCAATTGAAATTAAACATTAGTATTGTTGGAAAGTAACTCAATGGTTTTTAGATGTTAAACGTTCACATGCGAGACCGTAGGTTTTGAACTGAAATCCCATGTGTATGATTGTGAATACTGACTGTTGAGTAGTCTCATGATGGGACGAAACAGCTTTTCACTGCTTCCAGGTTTTCAAATGATAGTTTAGTTGAGATCAACTCATTCATTCAACTGTTAAACTTACCACCATCTACACAAATCTCCTTTTTCGATAATAATCATTGATATGCAGAAATTTTAAAGTTTCAAAGAGAAAATACATTTTCATTCATAATAAATTATTTACGTTTTTGGTTTTGTATATGAGTTGACAGTGTACTGTTACATTGATAAATATTTCCTTATACTCGGTTTCAATTATTGAATTTGAGACGTAGAGAACTTAGATGTGAAGTTATCATAGAGCAGAACTATTTCTCATTATTCAACAAAGTTTTTCTTGAAATATTCTACTAGTATATAAACTGACATAGTTCAGTTCATATTGGAAAGTGAATACTTTCTCCAAATTGACGTTGTTGTTGTTGTTATGACTAGTTCGTTAAGACCATTATTAACTGATGTGCTTACGACTTATTGTGTTGCGTGCTACTTATATTGATATAAGTAGTATATTATGCGAGTCAAGAATGTAATGTCTGGTAGCAGAACATGAAGAAAGATCAAGAAAGCAAGAGCGGGAATACAAAGCAATTTGTATGAAAATGTAAGAACAATGAAGTCTGAGGCATTTTAAGACAATTGGTGGACATTTTGCAAATTAACAATTTAATATATAGTTCTCAGATTTTATTGAGATGCTCCGATTGTCACCCACCATGCTCTTGTTTACCACAGTATTCTGGGGATGTAGCTGGAGATCTATTCAAAAACATGTTCTTTTATAAGCGATAAGTGAATGGTATATTAGTTATCTCTGAAAGATAGGATGATATTCATTGCCCACTGAATAAACTTAACACAGTTCAAAATCCTAACAGTTTTCATGTGAAGAGAAATAAATAGGAGAGAAGATAGTTCAGTCAAATGATTCATTGTTAGAAAGTCAACCCACACAGGCCAGTACCTTAATCATCATAGTTATTGCTCAGTTCAATGCATTCGTGTTTGATCGTATTTGTATAAATGATGCTACTGATGACGAAGTAATGTTACTGAACAAAACATTAATGGAAAATGGGTATCATATATCTTTGGCAAAGAAAAATGTTGTCTATATCACCCTACATTTCAGAGATGAGTCAAATAGCCTTCTTTCGAAACCTAGGTCTAAATCAGTTGGTAACAAAGCGAACTATCCAGTAAGGTCATTATCAAGGGGAAAACAAGTTACTTGCTTCACTGAAAACTTAAAAGACATGAAATCGATTACGTCACATTCCACTGTGTTTATCAATTTCAATGTGTATGATGAGTATCATATTGTCTCCCTGATGATTTTGTTTATTGTCTTTGTTTCCTTTTGCCCTCCATTTGTCTATATGACTATTTATTTTTGTATATAAATGTTCATAACAACTATATGTGTAATTAAATTGTTTGGAATGTATTGGCAGAATATATCATATAGTTCTTATAATCCTGATCTTTTCATTCAACTATCCAAAGTCGTCGTCTTTTCAATACGTCAATTTCTGTTATAAGCTTAGTATTATTGAGAGCAAAGAATCGTGATCGCAAGACATCTCAGTTTGATATTAGCGTTAAGAATCTGAACTATTGAACACCTATTCAATAGAGTAATAGGATCCTAGTTCCTATAGGACAGGACAATGTTATGTTAGGTCCTTGGTGTGGTTTTGGATGTAAACTATTGTATGCTAACACATAAAATGGAATAGCTATCTAATATCTCTTGCCTAGCTATTGTTTACTCATCATATAAACGAAATACAATGCCCTCTCATTATTTCTGTTATTTACACCTTTATTTTTAGTTCTTTCGAAACAAATACTTCATTACAACCTTCATTACTTTCAAACCAAAAGAATTCAAACGATTGTTCATTCGTTTTAAATACTGAAAGCGTTAACCGATTGAATATTGACCATTCCAGTATAGATGGTCAGCAGATAACAAATGCTAATAAAGTAAGTTAAATATTGTAAATTTCAGTATTTTTAAAGATTTCCATTTGCCAAACTGAATGAAATCCACTCTTTATTACTTACATACTTACTTACTTACTTACTTACTTACTAATGCTTGTTATTCCTCGTGGAGTAGCGTAAGCCGCTCACCAGCATTCTCCATACATCTCTATCTTGAGCAACCATTTCCAGGTCTTTTGAATTCCTATTCATTTCTGCTTTCAATTCTCGACGTAATGTGCTCTTTGGTCTTCCTCTTTTCCGTTACCTTTCAGGTACAAAATATATTAACCAGAAATAATATTACACGACAAACTATATCGCAAAGCCATTCATGGACGACAGCCGACAGACGCATTCCAAGAGGGGACCGGAGTCAGACAGTTCTGTTTGCTATCAATCTTTCTCTTTCTTCTGTTAGTTGAGTGGATTATGAAGACCTCGACATCTGAGGGGAAGCATGGGATATAATTAACTGGTTGAATGCCACTAGAGGATTTGGATATGACAGATAATATGGCAATTCAATCCCATACAACACAACGACAATTGCAAATGAAGACAAACAGTATAACAGCAGCCTCTACATCAGTAAGCCTCAACATACACAAGGGAAAAACCAAGATTCTCAAATAGAACATGAAGAATAACAACACAACCACACTTGATGGAGAAACTCTGGAACAGGTATAAACGTCCACGACCATATCTCGCAGTATCATCATCGATGAACCTAAAGGTGAGGACTGAAAAAGCAATTGAACAGCAGTTAAACAACATATGGGCCTCAAAACAACTGACAAAAAATATCAAAGTCACAATCTTCAATACGATTATCAAGACAGTTCTATTGTAGGGAGCCGAAGATTCCAGAACTACCACAACCATCATCAATAATGTACAAGTATTTGTGAACAATTGTCTACACAATATACTGAATGTCCGTTGACCGGATAAAGTCAGCAGCAGTCTACTGTGAGATAAAACAAACTAGGTTCCAGCTGAGGAGCAAATTAGGAAAAGACGTTTGAAGTGAATATGACATACATTTGGTAAATCATTAAACTGAATGACTAGGCAAGCGTTAACTAGGAATCCTGGAAGGAAACGGAAAAGAGGAAGACTAAAAAGGACACTGCATCGAAAATTGTAAGCAGACAAAACTGCCTATTCATAATAATTTTGAAACTGGTTTTTATCTTATGTGATATGATGGTAAGAAAAGTCAATTTTCGATTGATTTACCGATTATGAGTTTTATTCAACATTCAACATCCATTTCGATTCAACGTGAGGATCAATCAGTGTAGTATTTGATTTGTTGCTGGTGTTGCTGGTGAAAGCGTTGTCAAACACTGAATATCTGTGCCATCTTCACCAGTATAATATTTTCTTCTGTATAATATACGATATTCTTGTATTTAATTGACATGAACTATGCTCAGTATGTTATTTAATCCTAATTATTAATCAAAATGGGTATACAATCAATATATAAATGAGTGTACTTCCTATTAGAATTGTCGTCGTCGTCGACCTGTTTTGGGATTAATAAATCATCACTTATACCAGTCTTTGTGTTCTTACTTTCGCGTCGTGGGAATTGCAGAGGTCCCTTGTTCCAAGTATAAGTGATCAGCGTTTTTTTTCGGCACAGCAATCAGCGACGACCAAATATAACATTATGTCAGTTCAATTTGTAAATACTCAATAAAAAATGTGTAGAATAGTTTTCTACATGAATAATTTGTGATAATACATGTCTTCGGTCAATTGTACTTCTATATAACAACTGTTTCTTATTCTATAATATGTATATTCGATGTATGAATTGTGATATCGTTCTACAACAATCAAAAAGGAAGATAATCGAATAACCATGGTAGTTTTGTTGTAGACTGTAATTCTTTTTTATTAAGTTGCACCATTACATTATAAAGTTAATATACAGAAATATTTTCACTGTTGAAAATGAAATTTCCTAGAATTCACTTGGTATTGTTTATTTGAATCTTCCCATTGATATTTACAACTGCAAATGATCAGTCTTTTATTGGTATATGTGCATAGTGTGCATATTACCGTGTCCGTATTCCCGAGTGAATATCAACTCTGGGATGTAGGTACATCCAGTTGACGATTCCCAACTATGATGAAATGCACGTCAAACTAGCCACTAACCGTCTATGTCTCCCAGAGTTGTCTACTGAATTCCTTTGATAATAATTTTTATTTGATATTTCAACTATTATTATCAGAATGAGTTTTGTGGAGATTTTTAGAAATTTCACTAGTTGAAATCATGAGTCAATTGAAGCTAGACCACCATGGAAAACCTGAAAGCACTGGACGGCCGTATGGGAGTTCAACCAGGTCTGTTGTGAGATAGGAACTCACTGAAGACAATGATGTACAGTGGCGCAGCTTTGTGGATTGGTTGAAGGTAGACATTAACACCGTTGGATGCCGACAGCTCAGTGGTCTAGTTGGTTAAGCGCCTGACGCGAGATTGATAGGTCCTGGGTTCGAATCTCATGAACGGGATCGTGGATGCGCACTGCTGAGGAGCTCCATACTAGGACGAAACAGCCGTCCAGTGTTTCCAGGTTTTCCATGGTGGTCTAGCTTCAACTGACTCGTGATTACAACCAGTGAAAATTCAACTAATATTATTATTTATCATATAATCATAATCATAATAATAATGAATAAAAATGTTTATTTATTACAAATGTTTATCAAGTTATTAATAGATATTTGTATCAAAAATGGACTTGGTTTGCCAAACTTTACTATTCTGATACAAAGTTGTATTGATCAAGTCTATGGAAAGAGAATGAATCTATACATTGGACAAGTAAGTAATGATGTAATCCAATATATGAGTTCTATGTAATTGATAGTTTTCTAAGTTAGATAATGTCAAAAAATTATGATTAGAGATATGTGGATAATATTCACTTCGTTGAAGTTAGCTTGTAGTGTGTGCTATTGATATCGACAGATTTATGTAGTAGGTATCATTAATCAAAAGTGTAAGGCCTGGAGACAGAAGCTTATGGAGATGACGTGAACAGAGAATGACTGTTGTGGAAACGAAAGAACAATGAAGTTTGAGATAATTGATTGAGGTTTTGCAAATAAAGTATTTACTGCATGGTTCTCAAATTTTACTAAGATGTTTTGTAATTTTGTATTGAATTACATTCGATTGTTCTTAGTTGTGTTCTCGTTCACTATAAGCTTTTTACATGAATGATGGTTGCATAAGTTTGAAATGTATGTACTACTAAATTTCAACTATATGGTATTTTGAAATCGTGGTATCTGCGAAACTTGAAGATCTTGGGTTCAATCCCTGTGAAGTACTGTGCGGAAACAATCCCTCCAGATTTCGATAATTTTCCGGCTGGCATCAATCACTGAAATGCATTAACGTCAAATTAAGAAGAATATGATAGATTATTCCAAGCCTTAGTTAAGTTATTCTATTCAAATAATGCATTGAGAAGACAACGTTTATTAGAGCTCTGTGATATCTTAGCAGGCAGCATTTTGAACAGGAATCGAACTTCACATTTGACTTGTCTAGGCATTTACATGAAAAAATTCACGGAGATGAACCAAATAAATCGGGAGATAAGATAAAACGAAGAAAACAATTAACAACATCATAGGTTTGGTGAAAGTGCAGCTATTCGCTCTCCGTTTATGATCTTGAAGCAATAATTCATGATGAAACGAATGTTGATTCTGATTTTAGAATCGACTATAATCAATAATTTTTGGAAGCTTATTAATGCACTTTAGTGAATCAAAAGTTGGCGTAATGTTTTTGTTATTATGGAAAATAGTAGTGTGATGTTATGAACGATATGTAAAGACCAACAATAAATAGAAAATCAATAAACGAAATAATGAATTGGCATTAATTCATTTTATATTGGTGATTTGAATGTTCCCATTGATGTTTAGCACTGTAATTGATCAGCCTTTATTGGTATATGCTCTTCCTGTGCAGATTGCTTCAATATTGCTCTAATTCATAAACATTATAAGCAAAGATGGATGTTGTCTAGTAGTGAAATACAGTTTGACTCTCATTGCATCCTATTTGAGACTCGTCAGTTGGATGTACTGGATTCGAGTTCCATTATGAATATCAACTATGGGATGTAGACACATCCAGTTGACGAGTACTAGATGAGACGAAATGCACGTCCTATATTCCACTACTATACACCATCCATCTCTGCATATAATGAAGTGACTTGTTTTATTTGGATATTTGAATGAACCATTAAGCAGAAATAGGGCCCCTATATAAATAAAATTCAATAAATTTTGATCATTTCCTTGATGAATCTAGATGAACCGTTTAAATTAGTTAAATTTTAATCACTAAGATTATTTTGTTGTGACTTGAACTTGGATCGATTTTTACCCCGTGCCAATTGTTGTGTCCTTGACTGAAAGATTAGAGAGCAGTGTATTATCGATCGGATCAAAGACGCGTAAAACACGTAAGAACAACCTAGAGTCCTGCTTCCCTGTCTAGCCCAGTCAGTTGAGTACAGAATGCAAGTCTCAGCCTCTGAGATATGAATCATTATATTTCAAGCAAACTGAGTTTATATACCAAACAAACCGACCACAACTTACCAATAGAATATGAAACAACATTTGTACAAGAGTTAACCAGAAGTGGCTGTGAATGAGGGAGGTAGCGATTAACAGATAGGGAATAATACATAAATGGTAGATCGTACAATAATAGTTCATAGGTCAACATAAAGCTCATAATAAGAGGGACATGAATATGAACAGTTTAGTTGCATAACAATTACAGGATAAAAATATACTCATAGTGTGGTGCGTGCTACTTATATTGATATAAGTAGTATATAACGTGAGTCAAAAGAACGCAATGTCTGGCAGCAGAAGATGGAGAAGATCAAGAAAAGAAGAGCGAGAAAACAATGGACTTTGTAAGAAATCGCATGAACAATGAAATGTGAGACAATGGATATGATAGAATGACATTTTGCAAATTAACGATTTACTATATGGTTTTTCTATTTTACCAAGTAATTCTGTAATTTGCCCTAAATACAAATGGCTGTCCTCACCCGTGTTCTTCTTCACTACATTAGTATTGATCCATAAAGTTGCCGTTCATTATTTTTATTGGGATAAAACATCTTTCAAATATAGTTTTTTTTTACATTTTCTTTATGTATCTACTTCTTCTTAATGTTGATCATGATGCAAATCTATAAGGATATTCTGTTTATTGATTTTTATTATTGATTTTATTCTGTATAGGTCTTTTTACCAATGATCAATCGTCAATTCACTTCTAAGTATCCATCAATCACTATGGAAAAATCATTACAATCAGTTAGTGAATTAGCAATTATTTGGCTAGTAAATGATTATTTCATACGTAATAATAATAATAATAATAATAATAATAATAATAATAACGGTATCTATAGTAATGGTGATGGTTATAGTTTATCTAATGCTAACAAAGTTATACATAATGATCATCATTATGAAAGTAAGTTATCCAATACTTCTAATCATGATTTGATCATGTGTAGTATGAATGATCATCATAATAATAATAATAATCATTCAACTACATCTTTGAATTACACTAATCCGAGGACATACATTTCATCATCTTCATATGATCATACATTTGTATCTTATTCTTTACCGATATCATTGAATCAATCTACAAAGAATTATCATTATAGTCATTCATCTATTCATAATCAAAAGGATCAAATTCATTTTAGATCACCATTAACCATTTGTACAGATTTCAATCATCATGATCCTAATGAATCTTTTAATCATTATGATTTTGATCCAGATCAGTCAAATTTCATGTTTGATATAGATAGTAATAATAAGAATAATCATAATAGTTATGGATTTAAAACAGATTTATACTTAAACAGAACAATCAATAACATTGAACCAATTTCATCAAATCTACTAACATCCTACCAAAATACTCATAACTTTCAAGTATCTATACAAAATAATCAGAATTCAATTGATGATAAATTGTTAAGTAAGTGAAGACTATCATTTCTGAACGAATCATTTGGGTACAAGATGACAGGTCTCGAATTTTTAGCGCAAAATTCACTCATCCATTTGGCTAAATAGAGTTTTGGGCATTTGAACTGATGTCAGTTCGTGATGAAAACCTCGAAATCTAATTCCTAACCCTTAATCATGAACTGTAAATCATAATTCGAATTCCTCACACACTAATTTCTAACCTTCATTTGATCTTAGTTATCAGGTGAACATTTTGAAGATCATTTTAGCGTCTCTCAAATGGTCGTCCATAATTTATAGTCCTACCTAAGATTTTCTTTAGCATTAAAGCTTCATTGATTTCAACGATAAATAGGTTATGACCCAAAAACTTAGAGGATAACTGTCTTTGTTGTTTTATATCTGTATACATCTGCCAATTGTGTTATATTGTTTTTTAAACATAATACACTAGTCAATGTCAGTTCATTTTCAATACTTCTGTATGAATATGATAAAGAGTAATTGTTAGATAATTATTGTATAAATAGTCTACATGATACTCGGATAAACTTCTATTGATTTACTTTGAATAACAACTGAATATATTACTGCATTATCATGTACGTATATTTTACGTTTTTTTTAAATTACTGATATGTAAACTATACTAAAAGTAGTTTTACGGTTGAATTCATGAGTCAATTGAACCTAGACTACCATGAAAAACCTAGAAGCACAGGATGGCCGTTTTGTCCTCAGTGGTACGCATCCACGATCCCAACCGCAACATTCGAACCCAGGACCTAAAAGTTTTTAAGATAATAAGGATTTATAACTCAAGTGAATGATCTTAGTAATATCTCATGTCTTTTGTTCGATGGTCAAGTTAAAAAAAACTTGTTGGAAATGTGCTCATGAACACTCTCTAGCTTTACTAAGCAAAGGTGTAATCAAACCAATGAATAACTCAATACTAGCCCACTCAGTTCAAACCAATTACAGAGTTAGTATAAACCAATCTTTCTCAATAATTTATCAGATAAGTAATTTTCTGCCATAGATAATCTTACTCAATGTCCTTCAAAAACGGCAGAAGCAACAGCTAGTCGAATTAGAAACCTGGAGCTATGTAAACAAAACTAATATATTCAAACTCACCTTTTACCGTGACCAACCACAGGGCTAATAAATCAGTGATAATCTTAATTATTGAATCACCTAATTCCACCGATGTACACACACTCTTAATTAGTTGAATACTCTTGTCTTTGTCACTTTTAGCAAAACTAGTTGACTGAAGAACTACTTCTTTTCAATCAGATCTTTATTAGGGCTCTATACCAGTATATACTGCTTTACGAGTGAGTAGAAGGTTGATAGCTATTAGATGATGATGAGTCAACTTGACAATATACATGTCTCAGACTCTGTATAAACGTTGCATACAAAGGTTAGGTTTTTTATTTGTTTTCCCACAGTTTCTGTTTTATCGTAATAGTGAGGTTCTGAAACCGTAAGGTCAATTCTGTGAGAATTTAAACGCTGAAGTGTTGTCTACGTGATGATTACTACCGACTAGGTACGTCATGATTGAGCTTCTTTTACCTGCTTTCTTCTTTGCTCATTCATAAATAGTGATGTTCAGAAATACGATAATGCATTTGTCTAGTTGTGCGTCCAATATAACTAGGTCCGTAGAAGTAGTTGAGGTGATAAATACCCATAGAAACAGAAAAACTAGTCAATTTATCCTTATTTCTTAAAGTCACCATTGGTCGGCTGAAAAATGTAGAACATAATCTTTTCGTATTGAGATATTTTGTATACATCGAGTTACCATTTCGCTAGCTATATCACCTGTGAAGTGATACTATCAGTCATGTAGAATTTTGGGTACCTTCGATGATTCTACTTAAGGTTGAGTTGCAGATATATGTTTCGTTATGAACTTTCGTTGATATCCGTGCTTACATGGTATATCATGGATAAGCTTTAGTTCCTCTTCAAGACTGTCATCAGAATATATGATTTTCGTTCTGTGAGTCAAACATTTGACTTTGTTTCGTTTATGTTGTTATGGTGCGAAGCTGTAAAAGTTTGTATACTGATTTTGTGTAGTTGATTTACGATAAACACTTCTTACTGACCTATCAGTTCTTCTTGTCAATAGAACATGTTGAGACGAAATGGTGTTTCACTTTTCTTCGTGCATTGTGGAAGTGCTTACCTGATGGACTCTATTAAATGTTTCTAGTTAACTTTAAACTTCGCAATTGTATTTTGTCACTAGAAATATCTCATCCATATAGAGACAATAAAATTCGAGTTTTCCTATCACATCTTTTGGAGGTCTGTTTTCTAAATTTGCCAGAACTAAGTCAGCTAGGATTAGTGATCCCATAAAAATACCGTCGCATTATCTATAGAGTTCTTTATGAAAACTAATATCTATTCATAGCATATCTGGATATGATTCTTTAAGAAAGGAGATGGGTTGCTAATTGCCATTCTTCGATTTGATAACTCGCTACATATGAAATCAACTATTTTGTATAAGAGGTACGTGTATACGTAGATTGACATCATGAATTTTCTGCTCACCTTCAAATCACGAATTTCATCAACAGGTTCAAAACAATCTTTTAAATTGTGCTGTACGACATATTTGTGTAATGACTTGAGATGTTCAATTAACCATTTCCCAGTTGCAATGTAAGATCAATCGACGATATCTAAAACTCGATGAAGTTATAGACCAGTTTTGTATTATTTTGATAGGCCATAAAGTCTTGGTATCACCATACCTGTGGGTGGTTTAGATGCTGTTTGTTATTGTTATCCACATATTTTTGTATTATTATTATTATTATTACTATTATTATTGGTTTAACATTACTAATAGTCTCCGGAACATACGATTAACTTGGTTAACATTCAACCCACATTATTATCTAATTTATTATTGAATTCAGATAACTTTATACACAACATAGCTTCCCATTAAACATTGGATAGAGTTTGTAATTGTATTATTATTTCTTTGCAACTTATATGACTCCTATTTATTCTGATTATTTATCTAATAATTTCATTTAACCTATAAGCTTATTCAAGTTAACATTAAGTATTAGTTAACTCAACACTAACAATTTTATTTTCATTGAAATCATTTGACTTGTGTTAGGTCTGGAATACTGCCCGGGTGCTTAGATCGAAGCAGGTGGTTTTCTTAGCGGACCACACCCGGATCGTTTGACCTACATGTCTAATCCATAAGGCAGTGGAGAGACGTAAGGAGAAGCAGTCCTGTGGTAGCTGGTGACACGCAATTGGTCTATACGCCATTTGTTTCTTCAGGATACTGGAGCCCATGTACACCATTGGTTTGGAATTGTGGTTTTCCAACTACCCTAGGTGGATCATAAACCAATATAAATTAGACTACTATTGAAAAGATGTGAGCACTAAACGACTGTTCTATTATGGGTCTTATCAGCAACGTGAATCCGCCTGAAGCTCCGCTTGGGCTGCTTACGGCTACAAGCCTGGATCAAAGGGGAGGGCTTCGCATGTGGTTAGCGACTGGCTAAAAAAACCCTAACCACAATCCTTGAATGCACTCAATGATAATTGAACCTAGAACCTACATTCTCGCATACAAATGCTTAACTCTATAGTTATCATAATGTTTTATGTTATAATTATTTCATTTTATTTTCAAATTTTGCCATTTTTTTAGATGATAACACTGAGGATATTGATGATATAAATTCATTTTTCAATAAAATCAAAATCGATGATGATCAATTGAATGATCCAAATTATGAATTATCCAATATCAATTATATGAATGAAAGAACATTGATACCATTTACTTCATCATATGATTATAATAATGATATAAAAATGTCTATGCAAACTAATCACGTTGTGAATCATGATACTACTCATATTGATACTACTCATATTACTCTTACTACTAATACTACTTCAACTATAAGTAGTAATAATAATAATGGTAATGATTATAGTTATGATAATTATCAATTACATAATGGTATCAGTTTTCTATTGAACACAGAATCTAATAATGAAACAACTTTCAATAAACCAATCGATTCATCTACTCATCAAATAAGTAATATAGAAAATTTCAATGACAATATATATAAGTATATAGATGATGAAACATTGAAATGTATAAACCTTAGTGATAATAATAAAAGTACAAATAGCTTATTACAAAATACATTTGAAATGATGATGATGATGATGATGCACACTTCAAATGATACAAATAATACAATGTATAATCATAGATCTAGTTTAAATAATTCATTGAATGATTTTGAAATGATGCATAATGCGTTTCATAGTTCACAATTATCCTCCTCCTCCTCATCATCATCATCATCATCACTATCATCACCATCTTCATTTTGCTCCTCCTCGCCCTCCTCATCATCATCGTCCCCTTCATCAATTACATCTTTATTAAAATGAAAACATCAATAACTATTCCAGAATTTATTCATTCTATTTCATTGAATCAAAATCAATAGTTATAAGATTCATAGAATCAAGTTATCTCTATATATCTCCTTATTGATAATAAAGAAAACACTTACCTAAAAAAATTCTTTTTTTTCGACATAACGATCAGAATTGCATAGTAATTAATTGAAATTTTATTTTGTGTTTGTTTTCTTTCTTTTGACACCGTTTCTTTCTTCTTTAATTACTAATTAATATTGAATTGAACTAATAAACAAAAGAGACTATCAATAAAATAAAATAAAAAAAGAAACATTTTTTTCCACATTTTTTTTGTAAACTCTTTTATTTAAAATGTAATCAAAGTATTAAAAATAATAACATGAACACATAAAGAACATCTTTCACATGTTGCCATGGTAACACAAGTTCGTTTTTTAAATTTACATCTTTATTTCAACCATTGTATCAAATTTCAATATTGGCGCTGACATGTTCAATGTTTCAATATATACACTATATATGTAATACATTTGAAATATTCTATCATCTTTACACGTTATATTATGTATAGTAATAATGTATGAATTCCATTAATTTTATAGAATCCCCTAACAAAAACCAATGAAATTTACAATCAATTCACGAGTTTAGTTTTCTTTTTTCTTTTCTTTTTTTTAAAAAAAACTTTCTCTCTTGTTTTAATGTTACTCTGGGTTTTTTTTCGTTGTTTTTGTTTTACTTGTGATAAAATGGTTAGTTCCATGTTGATTTTGTTCATTCTTTTATCTACTGAATATCATACTTTGTTGTTTTCTGTTGATCTATGTAGTTTTTTTTCTGTTTTCATAATAAGTAATATAAAATATATTATATTGTGTAGTTTGATTCAATCATAATAGTTGATGTGAGCTTAAACACCATGGAGAACTTGGAAACACTAGATAGGGGGGGGAGATTTCGTCTTAGTGTAGGACTCCTCAACAGTGCGAGCCATTGATCTTGTACACGGATTTTGAACCCAAGAACTAACAGTTTTGTGAACGAACACTTCAAATCTAGGGTGAAACGGATGTCTACTGCTTCTAGGTTCTCCATGATGATCTAGTTTATATTGACTCATGAATTCAACTATTGAAACTATTACAATCACCACAAAATCTTCATTCTGATATCAGTCACAATATATATATTCTAACTTTTGATCAACTAACTATTCAAAGGATGACTGAATAAAAAGATTTATGTAAGTATCAAATTAATATATAATTGAGTATATATAACAAATGATATCGAAGTGATTCAGTTGAAAAGAATCTATGTCATAGTTAGTGACAGCGAAATGAATAATTCACTTCCTCAGTGCAAAATTACAAATATTTTCCCTTTCCATTTACTATGCGCATTTGTGATATCCTCACAGTATTACAAAGTCAGTTTGGAAATTTACTATTCTGTCAACACAATATACCTCTATTAGTTCCAGTAATCCGTTGACATTATATAATAAGTGAACTTTACTAATTTCAGAAACTATAGCTTAGTTACAATTTATATATTCTATCTGTCAACTATGTGAAAACAGCTATTTATAATTGAGATAAATTTTTTTTCCTGAATAAATATGAATACCACGTATTATAAAAACAGAATGTACTTTCCAAATATTTTCTTTGATGTTATTTATTAAAAAACAGTAGTAATAAGAATGTAATCGGTATTATCTAATTCTAGGGTTTAGAAATTAAAATTTCTTTGGCAGAAAATTTGATTTTGAAAACTTTCTAGATTATTAATAATAAGTAAATATATACGTGTATTTTCTGTATTTCACAAAATCATAATAATCAGAGAGGAGGGGGATGAATATCCATGACCCGGCCTCGCAAGATTCGAACCAAGGACCTATGAGTCTCGCGCACGAACGTTTTAACTCTAGACCACCGTGTCGGTATTGCATGGTGTTAATGTATAACTTCAACCGATCCACAAAATCATGCCACTGTTCACTATCTCGTGGGGCGGGATCATGGATGTACACTGTTGAGGAGTTACGTACTAGAACGAAAAGTCTGTTCGTTGTTTCCAGATTTTCCATGGTAGTCAAACTACAATTGACTCATGAATTCAAATAATAACATTATAATAATCTTTATTGATCATCAAAGATTATTTCATTCATATTAAAGAAGTATGAAAGTATGTTATTTACCTAGATTTTTTGAAGTAGTGTTTCTTGTTGACAGGTCTAGAGGGATTATTACTTTTATTATTCTGTATAGGAAGACAGATATTTTACGCTTTATTTTAACAAAAAGGTAGACAAGTCATTAACTGAAAAACATTTAGCGGGCCCGTAGATCTGACTCCATTTAGATCGTAATGATGAATGTTGTTAAATTATATATGTCGCCTGTTTTCGTATACAATCATCGACTTAAATCACGTTAGTCAATAACAGAATTTAGATAAGTCAATAAACAAGAATGGACTTTCGTATACATATATTTGTATATGAAATGAATGGAATAGAGAGAGGCGAAACGACGCAGAGTGGAGATGGCTGGTAAGCCAACTCCTCTTTTAGTCAAGTGTTACTCAATATTTATAGGCAGTCAAAATAAACTACAGATATGTGATGAGACATGGGATATGAAGTGTACACACACCTACGAGCTCATATAAAAACAGTCAAAATTGATAAGCGAATAATTAACATGGTCAAAATATGACTCAAGTAGAATGAATAGATTGTGCTGTCCGAAAGTTATAATAAAAGTACATGGGCTTAATATAAAAACTGACACTACAAGCATACGAATAACTAACAGATTTCATTATTTAGAGTGTTGATAATCTCAACTGAGTAAAATATTTGAAAAGTTAGTTACAACTTTAAAACTTAACTGCTGAACTATGATTATTTATTTATTTGAACACATAAATATTGGTACAAAGGGGGAACAGATACATATACACAACACAAGTCACTTGATTTGTGTGTGGGCTGTGATATTGACATTAACTGGGTGCCCAGACCGAAGCAGGTAGGTTTCTTAGCGGACCACACTCGGATCCTTCGACCTGAAAGTCTGATTCGCAAGGCAGTGGAGCAGTGTTGGGAAATTCAGTCTCATGGTAGCCGTTGACCAACAATTGGTTTGCACGCTATTTGTTCACTCAGGATGGTGGAGCCCATGTGCACCATTTGTTTGGAATTAACTTTTTCCAAATCTCCTAGGTTGGTCCTTCAATATCCACTAACCCGTCTAATGCGCCGAACATTCTTTTTTCATTCTCTCAATTTCGCAAACAACACCGGTGCTATGAGAAGGCAGTGAGTAGGAATTCCGTGTCAGTGGCTGTATACCCGTGTTCATGTGTAGTATTAATCGAGGGGGATCTGAATTTCCCCACCGTCGTCCGTACCAGAACATTTGGGGGCTAATGTCGATAAATTTAACGACTATGTATCAGCAATAGAATATGTTCAAAAACTGCACTAGTTATTATAATAATTTGAATGAAAGCAGAACAAATATTGATGTTAATTAATATTAATTCATTATATTTCGTGGTTTGTATATTAGAAGAACCGAGAAATGATTACGTGTTCGCATTTCCGAACATGTTCCAAAGAAATTAAGGCTGCGAGGGACTAGGGCTTTCAATAGTGCAATAGCTCGGCACTTACTTGACACTGAGCATACCATTAATATCTCTCAGGCTTTTAAAATTATTAGCAGACAAAGAAGTACGGCGGCTCTCTATTTTGCTGAAGTGATCGCGATAAAAAAACTTAGACCGGATCTATGGATGACATTAAAAAGGAAGAATATATATTTGTAAAATTTCAGCGAAAGAATTTGAAGTAAATCCAACGTTTTGCCTGGCAATCTGGTCCAAACCCTTTCAAGGAAAATATAATCAAACAATAAAATTATCAAATATAAATAGGTACATGGTTCTCTGGTTCACTGCATACTGAATAAGTTATCCAGTCAACGTGTACAATGTTTGAGGTAGGTATTTACATTATTGTGTAAGAGATATGTAGTGTGAAACGAAGTGTTAAGGTAAGAGATTATGTGTATACGTAAGTGATGTGAGAAGAAATTTCATTCAACTATATATTGTCTTCGGTCCGTGTCTATTAAGAAACCATACCATTTTATATATGAAATGAATTAAAAATGTCACAGCATGCATTAAATGAAAATGAATAAACAAGATGATCGATAGCACTCAATCTGCACTAATAAGGACTAGACACGGATGACATTGATCGCCACCCAGTGATCAATCAATTGTGATTACATCTCAGTTCTACAGGAGGTCGGCCGCGGCTGTGAAACTGGGTGACACTAGATCGAATCCGCCAGGGAGCACCAGTTCCCTCAAGATTACAGGTACACCTTGCTGACGAGTGCCAAGTAGCACGAAACCCGGGTCCAGGGTTTCCTGTTGACTACTTCCAACCACCATCTAATCTCAATACATAGTGCCCGCAGTGTCGAGTCACCTAGACTGGTGGTCACATTGCAACATGATTGATAGCATTCGATCTGCACTAATAAGGACTAGACACGGATGACATTGATCGCCACCCAGTGATTAGTCAATTGTGAAACAAGATTAGTAAACAAGATAAAATACTGAATTCAATGAGGAATGTATTTGTAATGGAAATTTTGTGTTATTTTAATGTCCCCGTCAATTGTATAACATATTCAGATAAGATAACGGATTTGAACCGTTGAATGTATTATCTATTGATTAGTTAATATGATACAGACAGATCAAATCGAATAAGGAGTTCAGGTTTAAATATTAATTATTAGTTGTCATGGGACTGCTAGTTGTATTCCATCTGTTCTATTAATACGGCATGCATTAGCCCATAAATGTAGGGCTTCGGCTGTTAGTCATTCTTTGTAAGGATTAAAGCCTTTTTGAATGATTCTCGTGGCATTGAACTCAATTATATGGCCCGATTCAATCGAGTGTATGTATTCAAAAAGAGACAGTCATAAAGTTAATACTACCCTGGTAATCCCATTTTTGTGCGTGTTTTTTTCGTTATTAGTTTTTATCCCTTTCCCATTACCGAATTCTTAAACCATCCATTCACTCACACATTTCCGCTCACTTGATTCTCTTAAATTATGTGAACTATTCAAATTCTATTCAGTTACTACGTAACCCAACTTAACAATTTTTTAACTCCATAAATTCTTTATTACCTCTATAATTATCACATAATTTACCTTATCTGTCTCCGAACTCCACTATTACACCAGCCATCCTTAATGTTTCCCCGATTTCAACCTATATATATATATATATATATATATATATATATATATATATATATATATATATATATAGTTATCATTGATAACCTTTTGTCATTCCAGTCTTTTACATTGACATATGTCAATTGTTCCAAACTATTTCTTATCTCAATGTAACATTCTAATACATATCAATGGTTATAATCAGCTGATGAGAAACCACGAAATATAATGAATTCACATTATTCTGCATCAGTATTTGTTCTGGGTTTATTTAAATTCATAAAGGGAACTAATTGCATGAAACACCATTGGATGCCGGCTCAGTGGTCCAGTAGGTCAAGTATTCGCACGCCAGACTGAAAGCTCTGGGTTCGAATCGTGCGAGCACTACTAAAGAGTCTCAGAATAGGACGAAACGATCTTTCAGTGGTTCCAGGTATCCAATAGTGGTCTCATATCAATCAATTCATGATCACATTCTCCACAACTTCTATACTCAAAACATTGAATCATTTGCTTAATGAAAATATATAATTTATTGGATTAATTAGTTTATCAAAACAATGCAAA